CTGTTTGGGTTTTTGTTGTTATTGTTGTTTTTTATTATTGTGTTGTGTTTCAGGTGCACTGTGTGGAACGTTCAACATCAATATGCCAGAGAAAATAAATGTTTTGAGAGGATCCTGTGTGAACATCCCCTGCTCCTTTAATGTAAGGGGGGAATTTGAAACTAACTTAGATGATTCATGTAAAGCATATTGGATTTATTCAACTTCATTTTCGACTGAAAATGCAAAACTAAAGCCAACTAAAGAAATGACAGGAGACTTAACAAAGAAAGACTGCACCACAACTTTCAATAATACACGTCTCCTTCAAAGTGCTAAATACAATTTCAGACTGGAGTGTGATAATCCACTGAAATTCACTTTTACCCAAGCTGGTGTAGATATTTCACTCATAGGTAAGTTTTTTTTTTTCATCCATTTACTGACAATTCATGAACAAATTACACTTGTGGAACTGCTTTGAGCTTGCTCTGAATTCACTGGATTTTACTCAGCATATAAAAATTGAAACTGCTGCTCATTGACTGACCAGAATGTCTGCCCACCAGCTGCTTCTCCCTCACCAACTCTGACTCCATCCACACTGGAGGTGGAGGAGGGAGCCTCAGTGAGTCTGACGTGCTCTGCTCCAGCTCCATGTTGGTCTCATCCTCCAGCTCTGACATGGAGCCCTAACCTGGGTCAGAGTCAGGAGACACTGCAGGAGAATCAGGACAAAACTAAAGTCAGGACCTCTGTTAAGAATTTCAATGCTTCTCACCTCCATCATGGAAATAAAATCTCCTGCACTGCTGTCTACAAGAAACAAGATGGTAGCGCTGATGTCACTGCTGAAGCAAGTTTAACTCCTGATATTTCATGTGAGTTTATTTTTTCTCTTCTAAACTGAAATTACAATAATATACTTTCTTGACTTGGTTTAAATTAGACATAAAATGGTTAGTAAATTACAGTGATGTTATGAGTATGCCATAACAACGTCTTTGGGTTTTATAAAATATAATGAAGACTTTAAAAGTTTGAATTTAATTTCATACTTTAATTTCATACATGCAGACTTTACACTGATGTGTGATCGTCTTAACGATGTACGTTTTTCTTTTGTTAGCTTTGTATTTTACTTTAGGATGTCTTCAAAACTAACAACACAAAACCACATTTAGTGAGTCATGTTGCACAGTGGTTTTTTATTTAAACAGCTGCTTTTCATTTACATCCTATTATAATGTTTTCTTACATTATCATGTTTCTAATTTAACTCACGAGCTTGTCGGAACTTTCAGATTCACTCTAAAGCTCGAACAAGAAAGTAGAATTGCAGTTTTATTTTAGACATTTGGCTTTGTGGTCTATAATAAGTTCTATTAATAGTTCAGCTAAAGCGCAAAATGACCTTTGATGTTTGATTTACGTAATATTACATTTAACACATTATCATAATACTCATTTTTAGATTCACCCAAAGATGTACAAATTTCCATCAGTCCTTCTGCTCCAATATTAGAAAACCAAAAAGTGACTCTGACCTGCAGCAGTAATGCCAACCCAGCAGTAGAAAACTACACCTGGTACAGAGCTGATGGAGACCAGGAGACTTTTATTGGGACTGGAAGCTCTTTTAATGTTACCGTTTCAAAAGTCAAAAGTACATTTTTCTGCAAGGCTACAAATGAACTTGGATTTAAACGATCAAGCAACCTACAAATAAATGTTCAATGTATGTATTAATTTAATTAATTTTCCATATTTACTCTTTACATATCACAACTAGAATTCTATTAATAGGATTGAAGGATGTGTAATACATGAATTATTGTAATGAAACTAAAGCATTAACTGATCTTTGGGGTGGAGTTAAATAATGAGACTGACAATAATCACATTACAAGTAGTTAATTTAATTTAAGTATTGGTCATTAAAATTAGGAATTCCTGACAGCCACATTGTTAGGCACATAGTAAGAAGAACTAAAAAAAATTCAAACTTTCTTCAGATAGCTCTAAATCTTTCATCAATAAATCAGTTAAAGTTAAAGACAGAAGAAAAGGTTATTTCATTTGACATGAACAGAGTCTTCAGAAAGAAAAGCCAAGAAAAACAACTTGTCATTTTTACTCTTCAGTTTCTGCTTAAGATGAAACCTTTATATTGGTGTGGTTTGCTCTCTGCTAATATTTAAAGATACAATTTTGTGTTATGCATTCAAGAGTATTTAATTTTTTTTTTTTTAAAAACCATTTGAAGCACTACTGTATTACAAATATTTACACTTATTCTGTAAATAAAACTGTCCTAACATTTCAGTCTGTATGTTTCTGTGCTCATTTTTTCAGATTCACCTAAAAACGTTACTGTTTCAGTCAGTCCTTCTGGTCCAGTACCAGAGAACCTCAACGTGACTCTAACCTGCAGCAGTAATGCCAACCCAGCAGTAGAAAACTACACCTGGTACAGTGCAGATGGAAACCAGGAGACTTTTATTGGGACAGGAATGAATTTATCTATTAAAGTCTCCAAAGACAGGCGGATATTGTTTTGCAAAGCTGGAAATGAGATTGGAGTTGGACGTTCCAGCAGCATTCAAATTGAAGTTCAATGTAAATATCACATTTTACATCTCTTTAACATGTTCTCTATCCACATCTAATTTGCACGTACATTTGTATAATATTACAATTCAACAACAAAAAAGAAAAGAGAAAGAGGCAGACTAATTCAATGACAAAAATGACCTTTGTTTAGCCAGAGCAGGAGACAATATAAACAGAGTACAATGCCAAGAATCCAGCAAATGAGGAAAAACGGGTATATCTTAAAAACTGGCACAAGCACATCTGGACCAGACAGGACCAGACTGCAGCAAAGGAGAAAGCACTATATGCACAAAGGGTAATCAGTTAATGAAACACAGGAGGGTCACAAGATGCTCCCACAAAGATTCAAGACAGTTAATGAAGAAGAGACAAGTAAACTTAAGAGCACTACACAATTACAAAAAAAAGTTAGGAACCATAAAATACAAAAAGGGAAAATCAGACACAAAACTGAAGAAAGGAAATACAGAGAAGGAAAACAGAAATACTGAGCGAAATAAAAAACTCTAATACAAATAGAAACTGTAACTAAGAGAACTAAATACATGAAGATGAAGATGTGATAAAGTGACTACTAGCCAAACAGATGATGTTAACCATATATAAGAATTTAAAGTCCATAAACTCAAAACTGTGTGTGTGAAACCAAAGACCATAGCAGATCTGATACCAACAAGCAGCAATGTCACTCTGACATTCTGCAGTAATGCCAGCTGAGCAGTAAGAAAGTATTTGTGATGCAGCGCTAAAGATAACTGTGAAAACTGATGGGGAACAAACACATTTTATGAATCAAAGATTTAAAGTTAACAGTCTGTTTAGCTCAAGTCTGAAAATTATGTCAAAGTCAGTAAAATTTAAAGCATCCTATGTTCAAAAAGGATTTCGCTTCATATTGATAACTATGATCAGTGCTTGTTTTTGGTAATTTCTGTAAAATGTATTCAACACGATTGTGACTAACTGCTCTCTCTCTCTTCAATAATAGACCCTCCACAGATCCTGTTCTCGTCACACTGCACCTCAACAGAAAGTCAGCTCAACTGTTCCTGTGAGACTCTGGGAAACCCGTCCCCCAATATACAGTGGTATTTGAATGGACTAACTGTCAATCACTCTAAATGCGAAATATTCAATGAGACTCTGAACAGGACAATTCTGAGGAGCTTCTTCACTCTGAATCAGCCTCATAAGAAGAATTATCTCACCTTGATTTGTCGCACCGTCAACTCTCTGGGCTCGGCCAGTCAACAATTTTGTGTCAGCAGCCAACAAATTTCCACAGAACATCAACGTATGTCTTTTGTACACTTGTAAATATTATTGCTTAAGTTGTATGTGTACTAAAGTGGAGACCAAGGATGTTTGAAACCTTAGCCAGTGATACAGTGTACTCTACAGAGCCCACTAACAGATAATGTTAGGATTACATCTGTGCTCCTCTGGGATTCACTTGCAATCAATTTCTTTGCAAGAAGTTTTAGATACCCTCTAATCCATATAAAGAATGAATCTGTTACTTCAGTCCAGTTATAATAGACACACTAGGAGTTTCATAAAATGTATATTGTGAGTTCAAACAAACCTTATTTTTTAAAGACAACACAATTAATATGCAGGTCTTTTTCTTTTTCTTTTTTTAAATTCAGTTCTGTATCCAGCGATAATATCCATTCTTGGAGTGCTACTGTTAGCACTGTTACTATGTGTGTTTTTTATCAGGTAAGTAAACAACATGAGACTTTTTCAGAAAACCTTCACACTTTACTGTAACAGTAAACTTTATTTGTCCTGATTCTATTTGACTAAATGCTGATAATTACTTTGTTTATTTGGGTCTTCGTTTGTTAAAAAAAACACTTTTGCAGCTGATTTAATACTCAACATTGGTAACACTATTGATTAAATGTAATATCAATCAAATCTGTTCATCGACAGTCCATTTGACATGCTACTGGTGGTTAATATTTGCATGTATTCATTTTCAAGACATCTGTTTACATTATCTGTTAACATTCAGTAATGTATGTACAACTGCATTATTGCTTGCTAGCAGACATTTAATCTATTCATGCTGTGAACTAAAATGTAAATAGTGGCAAAACTACGATGTATGAATTGTATGCATATATGCTTGATATTCTACTTCATTTTTTAGGGCTCAGAAGAGTCCCTGTAAAAATAAAGGTCACTTAACAGACGAAAACAACACAGTTGCAACAAGTCAGCCTCTAACCGAAGAAGGAAATGAGGTGCTTAAAGTTCCTTTTAACAGTGTTGACCAATGCTGATGCTTTTGTAACTATACAGCAAGAAGCAGATTATCTTTACCACTGATATTTTCTATGTAATTGTAGGAACCAAACACAGCAGAAGAGTGCATTTATGCAAACGCTGATGGGCTGAGAGGGGCAGAAAATTTTCACCCTGCAAACATCGCTGGACCAAGCAGCACTAACTTTCCAAACTCTGGGCCAAACCATGCAGAAGGAGGACGCAAAAAATCAGACAAGAAAGAGGACGAGTGCGAACTGATTTACTCTAATGTGAACTGGAAAATGAAAAGCAAGAAAAAGAAGGGTGAAAAGTCTTTGGACATGAATCCATCTGCCAGATCTTATTTGGAAGAGGAGAAGTGCACGGTGAGGGGAGTTAACAGAAAGTCTGTGAGCAATGCAGTAGAAATGGGAGGCCTGTATGCTCAAGTGGAGCCTAGAAATATGAGGAAGGAAGTGGGGTGTGAATATGCGCAAGTCAAATTTAAAGAACAAAGCGCTATGCAAAAATAGATATATAGTGCCGTGAAAAAATATTTACCCCATATTTCCTGATGTCTTGCTTTGTGCAAAATTAGACTAATCTTAATATTTGGAAAAAATAACTCAAGTAAATTCAAAATTCACTTTAAAAAAAAAAAAGTCCAAATCTATTAAAAAATTTTGATTATCTGAAACATTTTAATGTGACAAATATGGAAGGAAATAAGAAATCAGACAAATATTTTTCATAACATATTGCAACCTTTTGCATTGTTGAGCTTGCTACAAAATAAATAAATAGCTGGTCTGTTCTCTGGGTGTGTCCTTGACACATGTAGTCACTATGTGGCAAGGCCATTGAGCAATACAATTACAATCCCTTCATTCAGGCTTCTCTGGCACAGTATCTCAGACACTGCCTGATATTTTCTTAAACTTGGTAACTACCAGGTGGCTACAACTGGTCCAAGGAGACCTGTTAGAGAAGCTAGGAGAAGCTCTGGACATGATTCAGCACACAAATGGCCTGAGGATAAAAACTCCTCTTGAGCCTCTCTGTTTTTGTTCGGAACCTTCTGCCTGATTTCAGAAGCTGGAAGAGTTCGTTGCTGGGATGGGAATGGGTCCTTCAAAATCTGAGTTATTCTAGTCCAGCATCTCCTGATGTAAATGTCCTGTAGGGAAGGGAGAGCAGTCCTGCAGCAGCGTTCTGCCGTACAGATATTCTCTGAAGTGCTTTTTTAGCCTTGACACAGCTGTTTCCATACCAGGATGTGATGTTCTATGTGACGATGCTCTCCTCACACAGAACCTGTGTGAGGATTTTCTATACAGTGCCTGTATAGAAAATCCTGAGGATCACTGGAGAGACCCTGAACTTCCTCAGTTGTCGTATGTGGTACAGGTGCTGCCTAGCCTTTTGGTCTGGACCTGAATGTGGGCAG